CAAAAGTCAGAGACAAAGATTTTTTGAAACTTAGAGGCTTGGAGCAGGCCCTGCAGGGTGGGGACTCAGCCCTTGGGGCTAGGAAGGTCCCCCTTGGCTGGCCCGGATGCTTCATGCTGAGGAGGGGATGCCAGCCAGTTATCACCGGTGTCTCTGAGCAGGGAGACAGGGAGGAGGTGGTGAGGCTGATTCTGGAAATGTTGGAAATACTGGAAGCAACTGCTGCTGCCGGGATGAGGTGTTGTGATCTTGGCCACTCTTAGGAACAGGAAGCCAACAGCTCCCTTCCTCTACTGCCCCTTCTGGCAAAGCCAGGGAGAGCCATCTGCCAAAAGGAGCCTGGGCTTCAGGATCCCAGTCCCAGCATCCCAAAGGATAAAAAATAATCAGCACAGGATTTTAAAAGGCTGTTGGACTACAGGTTAGAAAGTGGGAGGAGGGAATGGCCTGAGAGGGAGTTGGCCAGTTGCCTAGGGGGTTCTCCAGCAAAAACTTGAACTTGAATCTTTCTTTAGGTCGGGGAAGGGAGCAGCCAGGAGCAGCTGACTTGGTAACACGGTGATTACGGGACTATTTTGTAGGGCATGCTGGAGGGAGGCAGGAAGAAACAAGTTCATATGCTGTAGGGGAGATGGTCCCATTAGCTACTTTTTAAGATTGCATACAATTTTATGGGCTTCACAGAGAACTGTGCAAATTCTCATGTCTGTCCCCCACCCTGATAATGACTGCTATCTTTTAAGAGAAATAACTCAGCAGATGTTTGATTATATCTCACCCACTGTTTGTGGCCCACATGACTTCACATGAACTGATTTGTAAACCATGAAGCAGGATGCAAATGAGAAGTGGCATTTATTATTTGTATCCTTTCTGGCCATTGGCTGAGTTCCAGGGAGATGATGATGGGTTTTTGTCTTCTACAGAGATTTCAGATGAGATCAAGATTACAGCGAGTAAACCCTCAGAACTTACAAAATTAACAGAATAGTTTCACACTCTTCAGATTTGGCATTTACACATAATGGCCCTCCTGACCACTCTTGTTGAATCTAGAATTTGAACCCAGATAAACTAGGTGAATATCTTAAAAGAGAGCATTAGTGCATGTATTGTTGCAGTATAAAAATAGCTGTGGACTGATTTTAGCCATGTATATATTTGAAAGTTTTATAATGGACAGTTTAAAAAATTATTTTGCTTGTTTTTGTTTTTTTTTGAGATGAAGTTTTGCTCTGTCACCCAGGCTGGATTGCAGTGGCACCATCTTGACTTACTGCAACCTCTGCCTCCTGGGTTCAAGTGATACTCCTGCCTCAGCCTCCTGAGTAGCTGGAATTACAAGTGCGCACCATCATGCCTGGCTAATTTTTGTATTTAATAGAGAAAGGGTTTACCATGTTGGCCAGGCTGGTCTTGAACTCCTGAATTCAGGTGATCTGCCCACCCTGGCCCACCAAAGTGCTGAGATTACAGGCGTGAGCCACCCGTGCCCAGCCATATATTTATTTTAATTGAATAGAACTTATTATAGTGCTGGTACTGGGTACTGGGCAAAACCTTGAACCACATCAGGCTTTCCTGGTAGATAATCTGAGGTGCTTCAGGAGCCAATCTGAATCTAGGTAAGGGCATTGCCATATTGCGATGCTATTACGTTCGCCTTTATTATGCTTACCCAATTTATTTTGTAGTTCTGATTGTGAATGTGGAAGGCTGATTTCATTCTTTTTATTGCCATGTGGCTTTAGTTTAATAGCTATCATAGGTGAAAATTTAATTAAGTCAGTACCTGGGTTTCATTTACAGATCTAGATACTGATTTAATTAAATTCTCATCTATGATAACTATTAAACGTTATTTAATATTTATATACATATAACATCAGGTGTTATATATAATTTTATCCCTCCTCAAACAGAGCTGGGAAACTGTTTTTCCAAATGTAGAGGATGCACACAGTTCTGAAATGCCTCTGCTGTGTTTCTAAATTTAAAATAAAAGAGGGCCTGAGGAGAGAAAGCTATCACCCAGGGCCAAGCAGATGATGGGAAACTCTTCTGTCTGATTGACTGGCATTGCTCTCGGTTTTTCGAAGGCATAGCTCTGTCTTTTATCCTTCAGAACCATTTACTAAGCACTTCTCTGCATGTGGCACCATCCCAGGCTCTGAACGGTCTTGGGAAGCAAACATAGCCACTGTTATTTATGTTAATACCCCATGATAAATATGTGTACCTGTAAACAAGGACCCATAAACAGTAGAGAGAAAAGGGAAACCGGAGTTTTTTTCAGAGGAAGCTAGCATCAGAGACTGCATGAAAGTTATTTTCTTTCTTTTTTTCTTTTTCTTTTTTTTTTTTTTTTTTGAGATGGAGTCTCACTCTGTTGCCCAGGCTAGAGTACAGTGGTGTGATCTTAGCTCATTGCAATCTCTGCCTACTGGATTCAAACGATTCTCCTGCCTCAGCCTCCCAAAGAGCTGGGATTATGGGCATGTGCCACCATGTTAGCCAGGCAGGTCTTGAACTTTTGACCTCAGGTGATCTGCCCACTTTGGCCTCCCAAAGTGCTGGGATTACAGGCATGAGCCACTGAGCTGGGCCGAAGGTGATTTTCAAAAGGATTTTAAATATAAAAGAGATGTCTTGCTCAAATAGGTGAGGTAGGAGGGATGCTACAGTGAGGAAAAATGAAGGGAAGATTTAGCGTTGTTGGGCCTTAGGAGAGGGGTGAGGGCTGGCAAGTGGAAGAAGAAGTGAGGGGACACTGGATTATACCTTGTCATGCAGAGGAGTTTTGAAGGAGCGGGAGACTGCTGACCCTCTTGGAAATTGAGAGACTGTGTACACAAATGGGCAATGGCTGGACCACATGTAAAAATGGAGCTCTGGCCCACAGCCTGCAGCAACCTGCCCAGGAAACACCCCTGTCTCCACAATAAACAGCCCAGGGAGCCAGCCTGCTCTGTCAGACTTGGAGGAAGTCACACTGCTATCTCTAGAACAATCCAGGAAGCTAAACAGTAGCTTCTGTACTAAGAAGCTCCAGGACGTGATTAATAACTTACAGCTTCTTTAATTTTTTTTTTAAAATGGATTTTTTTTTTTTTCTTTTTGAAACAGGGTCTTCCTCTGTTACCCAGGCTGGAGTGCAGTGGTGCGATCTCGGCTCACTGCAACCTCCGCCACCCGAGTTCAAGCGATTCTCCCTCCTCAGCCTCCTGAGTAGCTGGGATTACAGGTGTGTACCACCATGCCCAGCTAATGTTTATTTTTAGTAGAGAAGTGGTTTCGCTGTATTGGTCAGGCTGGTCTCGAACACCAAACCTCAGGTGATCCGCCCGCCTCAGGCTCCTAAAGTGCTAGGATTACAGGCGTGAGCCACCGCACCTGGCCTGAGTTAGAGTCTTGCTCTGTAGCCCAGGCTGTAGTGCAGTGGTGCAATCTTGGCTCGCTGCAGCCTACACCTCCCAGCTTCAAGAGATTCTTGTGCCTCAGCCTCCAGAGTAGCTGGAACTACAAGAACATCCCATTGCACCCCGCTAATATTTAAATTTTTAGTAGAAATGTATTTTTTATCATGATGGCCAGATTGGTTTTGAACTCTTGGTCTCAAATGATTCGCCCTCCTTGGCTTCCCAAAGTGCTGGGATTACAGGGCATGAGCCACTGCACCCGGCTCTAATTTTTGTTCTTACTTTTAATTTAGGACCAACCAGGGAAAGCCAGATATGCCCCCACTAACCAATCCTGTAAGATGTTCTTCTTCTAGTTAGCCTGCCCCTGTGCAGGCAGCCTCAAATCAGGGCACACCTGAAACCTGACCTTTTTCCCACTTTAAATCTTTCCCGCTCCTCTGCTTGCTTTGGAGTCTCACCAAAACACAAGTGATGGTGGCTGTCTCCTTTGCTATGGCAAGTTCTGAATAAACTACTTTAATTTTTCTCATTCAGTTGGTCTTTGTTTATTTCCACAGGAATATTGTTGCTGCTGGTTCTGATTCATCTGCTGCATAGCTTCTGTCTTGCATTTTTGCTTCTCCTCTGAAAAGCATTGTTCCTTGTGCAACGTTTTTTTCCAGGGAAATAGGGGAAAAGGCTAACAGCAATGCAGATGGGTATTGATTGTTTACTTGTAGGTAGAGTGGAAAGACCCTGAGCTTTAACAGAACAGGCAATGGGAGACAGTGCTGTTCTGATGCAGTCTGAATAGTCTCCTTTTTTTTTTTTTTTGAGATGGAGATTCGCTCTTGTTACCCAGGCCGGAGTGCAATGGCGCGATCTCGGCTCACCGCAACCTCCGCCTCCTGGCTTCAAGCAATTCTCCTGCCTCAGCCTCCTGAGTAGCTCGTATTACAGGCATGCACCACCATGTCCAGCTACTTCTTTTTTGTGTGTTTTTAGTAGAGACGGGGTTTCACCATGTTGACCAGGATGGTCTCGATTTCTTGACTTCGTGATCCACCCACCTCGGCCTCCCAAAGTGCTGGGATTACAGGTGTGAGCCACTGCGCCCGGCCCTGAATAGCCTTTTAATTTTAAAGGATTGCTAAGAGGAGATTCAGTTCCTCTTGGGCCAGTAATGAGCAGCTGACTTAACTTGTACTCAGTAGTACATCCCAGTCTCCTTTATAAAACTACTATTCTGAGAAGAGTTCCAAAGAAAGATACTGTTCAACAGTTTCTAATGGTAGGGAACTGTCTATCAACTGCTTAGAAATTAACTGCATGTTCTAGTGAACGGCCCCCTCTCCAAATCACATTTGCTTAACAGTTTGAGGCAATAATTACTTATCTTGCTTTCTAAGTTGTCAATTTTCAGTCATATACCCCTAACACTAGTATAAAGGAAATCATAATATACTGACTGTAAGAAAAATTTCAACTTGTCCTTAAGTTTTACAACTAGATTGTATACACTGCTGAAAGTCCTAGCATTCAGACCTTTGGGTCAAAGTTGCCTTTCTTGGTGTAAGGTCTTCTTTTTTTTTTTTTTTTCTGTATGAGATTGGTTGATCATGAAGCTCCAAGGGGCAAGCTGGCCTCAGAGTTTCCCAAGTCCACATTTCTTTGCCTCCAATTCTTAGGTGTCCAAAGACAGGGAACCTCCTTTGTAGGAGGGTGGTGTAAGGTCTTTTAGGCCAACTGACTGTGACATGGATGGCATGGTAACCTCTGTGACCTGCATATACACTGCAGATGAGTTCCTGGAACTAGAAAGTCTGAAGTAACTGGAAAACCACAAAAAGGGGAAGAATGACCAACCCCTGTTCCTTATATGTGATAGCTATTGTTTTTATATCAAGCACTGTCAAATATATATTGGGTACCATGATGAACATTAAACTTGGCATAATCCCTAGCCATGGACCTACTGATGAATATTGAGATATATTACCTCATGAGGAAAGAATAAAATGAGTTTAGAAAGCTCACTCCCCTCTGAACTACTGCTGAGATGTTCAGAAATGAACCAGAAATAGTTTTAATCTGCCATATATGGTCCAACTTGATTTCAACCTAGCACCTAAGGAGCAAAGTAAATTAATTGAGGGTCTCAGTGGGCCATAATTTCAATATTTGAGCAATTGCAACATGGAACAAGAAACGATAATGGTGGGCAGGTTTTCTGGATGCCAGGTCATGAAGTCCTTGTGCTCACAATTCCTTAGTGTATTCAAGAAAAACAAGAAAAGCTCATCTCATCCCACATCTGAGCCCTGCTAGGAGCACACAGATGAGGATGAATATGACGATGGTCTGGTAAAGCTCTTCCTTTCTCGTTTTGTGCTATCAGATCAGGTGAAGCGATGGTAGGGGAAGAAAGATCGTGTGTGTCAGCGATATCAGGAGACAGGGATGTAGTTTCTTGTTTTATGTTGTTGTTACTTAAATATTAAAGTTGTGGCCTTCTGACTCTCAATTAGTTTGCTTTGCCACTTAGGTGCTAGGTAGAAACCAAGACTATTTCTCTGGGATGGATTGATTCATTATTGAATGAAGGAATGAAGCAAGCCATCAATCATGCAAACATGCCGTGAGTGCTGACGATGTGCAAAGATGCCACGCTGTGGAGATGTTTTTACCTAGCTAAGGAATAGTTCTCTCTTGTTACATGCTGATTTAAGGAAAAAGTTACTTTTATGGGAGGATGGCCAAAGAAATCAAGATATTTTTAAGCAGTTCATTAAGTTGGTGCAAAAAGTCTTACATGAAAAAACATAAATATTTTAAAAAGAGATTCATTAAGTAATTAAGCCCAGATGCAATACCTGGATTTGAATCCTGCTTCTGCAAGTTACTTAATCTCCTATGTTTCTGTTTTCTAATTTGTCAAATGGGAATAATATTTGGTACCTCATTGGGCCATTGTGAGAATTAAATTATTACTATATTAAAATGCTGATTAAGTCATTATGTGTGCCAAGCACTGTGCTGAAAGCTGGGAATACCAGACTTTGCCATGAGGGAGCTTACTGTCTACCACAGGGAGGGATCCAGGGAACCACATCCAGCCTAATGATTGATAGGGTGGGCCCACAGAATGAACACCTCACCCAGAATTGAGAGTTCAAGGATGTTTGCCCTGAGTCATAGAACAAGTAGGAGTTGCTAGATTTGGCATGGAGGTGAGGGGCAGAATTCTATGATCTAAACGAGCCCTTGAGGAAGCTCTGTCATTCCACTGGCCTCCTGAGATCAAACCCTATTTTAGAAACTGAATCTAGTGTTAGGCCATGAAGATTAAGTCACACTGACTGGTCAGCAGGGGCAGGTGCTGTTACTCAAGAGAGCTTTGAGGTTCACTTTGTGCCATAGGCTGAGTTTGGGCTGGCCAGTGCTCTTCTTGGGGGAGTGGAATGTAATTGGTGCTTATTTGTGATGGCCTTATAAAGGATGCCTCCTGGGCCTACTAAAGTGGAAACCATTCTAACTCCTAAACGACTGGCAAGCATAAACCTGAATCACACCCCAGATTGCTTTGGCTAATGGAGATGCCTGGCAAGTACAATATGTTTGGGGCTTTTTTTTTTCAGTATCAAATGGTGGATAAAATGGGACAGTTGCCCAGTGAAAAGCAGGCCTAGATGCATGGGAACAGGAATAACTGTTTCTTGTGTCAACAAGAAGGCTTTTTTGTGTGTGTGTGTGTGGAACTAAAGAAATGCAGCTCACTTACTGGTCTGGCCAAACTTCAAAAATTCATGTTTTTTTTTCCTCCTCCCAGGAACATTTTGTTCCTGCTGATGGTTAAAAGGTGGCAGCTTTCATATAGAATTGCAGCAGGAAGTATTTAAGTTAGAGAAAAGGAAGGACGATGTGACGGAATGATTGAGTGCAGGACAGGGTTCCCAGGGGGATTACAAAATCTGATTTTTATTCATGGGCTTTCTTGCTAAATAGCTGAAATAATAAGGGTGGCAAGACGTAAGCTTATATCACCATTTTTTAAAGATCTGTGCTTTGGGATTCAGAGGAAGTACGAGTGTCTTGTGACCAAGAGGACCTGAGGTGGCTTCAGAGGCTGAGCTGACCTTGGGATTGGGGTCGGGCTTAGAAAGAAGAGTGGGAAGGCCGTGCAGAGCAAGGCGGAGCAAAGGGATGGGAAGGACAGAGCAGGTGGGGTGATCTGGAATGTGGCCCCTCTGAAGAGGGCTGCGGCAGGATGGTATTGGCAGGCTGTCACAGGGCTGGGTTATGGAGAGCCTGGAAAGCTTGTCCGGAGAATTTAGATTTTACTCAACAAGCAATGAGATGCCATTTTTCCAGGCCTTTGATCAGGAACGGGAAATGATAGAAAGTGTGCTTCAGGGATCGTGGGCTTTTAGCAACTAAAGGGGTTTTACTGTCATGTGGTTCAGTGTTTCTCAGACTCTACTGGCATGAGAATCATTTGGAGGTGGAAGTACTTGTTAAAATTTAGATTCTCATTTGAAAGTCCTGGTGGGTGGGGCTGGGAATCTGCAGGTGAACAAAGCCATTGGTGATCCTGATACCAGTGGTCTGAGGCCCACACTGGGCAAACGCTGCTACCCCTTCGGTGAGCCCTGTCCAAGGGACCTAGAGAATCCTTTGAGAAACTCACAGGGTACCACTGAGAAAAGGAATCAGCCCTAAAACAAGTTTAGGCCCAGAGAGCTGGATGCTGACTTTGGACAATGCCAGTTGAGTAGGAAGCTCTGTGCTCCTTTTTCTTCCTCTCCCTACACTCCAATCTTGGAGGACCCTAGAGCCTCGAAAGGCAGAAGGCCAAAGAAAGAAAGAAGCGGAGCACGCCCAGTGTGATATTTAACCAGCACACCACTATTTTTTGACCAGGACACTGGCTTTTCAAGGAAAAAGCCCTGCCTTGTAGCATTTACCTGTTTCCATGCTGCAAATACTCCTAGTGTGGCCATCTCAGGCTACCAATGTGATGTCACTGAACACACAGTTAGGAAGAGAAGCCCACAGTGGGCTCTTGTGAGCCCGCAGGAGCCTGCTCCAGCAAACTACTGCTTCGAGCTGGAAATCAGGCCCAAGCTGGGCTGGAGCGAATGATTTGAGAATGAGGACTGAGCTGTTGAACGGTGTATTGTGCTGGACTGCGTTTTATTACTTAAAGTGACCACAGGGCTCCCAGTACTTTGGGAGACCAAAGTGGGCCTCTTGAGCCCAGGAGTTCGATACCAGCCTGGGCAGCGTGGTGAAACCCCATCTCTACAAAAAAGACAAGAATTAGCCGGCCTTGGTGGTGAGTGCCACCAGTAGTCCCAGCTACTTGGGAGGCCGAAGTGGGAGGATCACTTGAGCCCGGGCAGTCAAGGCTGCAGTAAGTCTGCACCGAGTGAGACCCTGTTTCAAAATAAATAAGTAAGTAAAACTAAAATGACCACAGGAATTTCTGCCACTGCTCAAGTTTTCATTCACTGGTAAAGAGAGAAATGGAACAAATTTCAGTTTAGGGATAGTGAGAAACCAAAAGTAAATTCACATTTTGTTTACATTCTAAGGATGGTGCCCATCCAATGGATGGATTACTGTGAGAAATTAGACCCTGAAAACTGGTAAGATTTTTTTTTAAAAGAATTATCATCAAAGGGAAATATAAAACTGAAAAGTATTTATGAAATCTGAGTCCCCAAATTGAAAACCAAGAATGTCAGGTATTCTGTAGTTAAAAGAGTTTGTTTTGGAGTTTTCTTTGGTGTTCCAAAGCAGATATCCTCAAAAGGAAAGCAGCTGTCTGATTAAAAAACAAATGAAGCTCTGTACTCTGTTCAAAGATAGTACAGGAAGAACCAACCTTATAGGTACACTATGAGGATTAAATAAACACGTTTGAATGTATCTGATACACAGAGTAAGTTTGCTGTCAATTCTTCTGCTTTTTCTTCAGAGCCACATTCTTTTTTTTTTTGTCAAAGACAGAGTCTTATTCTGTCACCCGGGCTGGAGTACAGTGGCATGATCTCAGCTTGTTACAAGCTCCGCTTCTCGGGTTCAAGTGATTCCCCTGCCTCAGCCTCCCAAGTAGCTGGGATTACAGGGGTGCGCCACCACACCTGACTAATTTTTGAATTTTTAGTAGAGATGGGGTTTTGCCATGTTGGCCAGGCTGGTCTCGAACTCCTGACCTCAGGTGATCCACTTGCCTCGGCCTTCCAAAGTGCTGGGGTTACAGGTGTGAACCACCGCGCCTGGCCCACGTTCTACTTTCAGTTATGCTGGGTTATGTTCACTCCCTGTTAGGGAGCTTCATCGTGGTAATGGGTGCAAGGCAGAACAATTTCTATTTCCAGTCTATTCCCGCCCCTCCTCTTTTGAGGATGAATGTCACACGTGAACCTTAGCCTCAGAGGGAGAAGGAGAACCTGCTAAGGCCCTGTGGCAGGTGGGGGAGCGAGGAGTGATCTCAGCTTTTAAATGGGCTTCCAAGTGTCCTCTGCTAGTTGAACTCTTTGAAGCTTCCACAATTTGTCCCCAGACTTCGATTAACACGGTTTCTGCTAGTAAACACAATTTGTGTGTAGCTTAAACCACTGAGGACACCAGAACCACAGCTCCCCTCCGCCGGCCCTCCCCAGTGGCTGACCCTTTGCATTTCCCTAATTCCAACAGCAGACTGCGAAGGCATCAGCC